ATGTTGGAAAAACTGTTATGTGAAACATATCTGTATGCCATAAAACCAGACAATCAGATGGGGTAAAACAGAAATGTTCTGTAAACGCTGAAGTATGTGTAAAACTGACAGACACTACTCATCTGGCCTTAATTAGTAGATCATTGAATTGATTCAAATTCAAAAGTCAAATACATAGCATAAGTTACTTTAAGAACAATATAATTAAAGCTTCAAAGCTTAGTTAAAAGGCAATTCAACTGCAGTAGTCAATTTTCATTGTTTTTATGGCTGGCTTCTTGAAGATCTGTAAGAGAAGAGCTAAATGTACAGACAATATCTGTACCACAGTTAAGGCACGTGAAACAGAAGACTTGAGCGTACGTGTTTAAAAGCATAGGAACTATTCTTGGCATACATAGAACTCCATTCCCTTTTGAGGAAGTTAAATACAGGCATCTTGTGCAGACAGCAGCAATTCATGCCATACCGATGCAGTTTATTTTCAAGTTCACCTAAATACTTACAAAGTTTAATACCTCGAAGTCAGGCTGAAAATAGTGGCAACAGGTACTTGTCACCATTGACAAACGAGGATTGTTTGGAAAAAAAAAAGACAGAATTAGCTAAGTAAATTTCATAAACTAATTTATTTTATGTTAGTATTCCTATGAACCAATTTAACTCAGTTTATAATGTCGGCATTTACAATGTCAATAAAAATATAGCTTTGTACTATAATGTTGGGCAGAGTTTCATTTCAGTAAATCAAGGAGATGCCACATTTTCATTTCAGCAAGTCATTTCTAGTAAAAACAAGGTCATTATAAAGTCATTCTTTCAACAGACTGACGGGAGCTAAATCAAAAATGACCTTGTAAGGATTTTAACTAGCATGTGGTAAAGACATAGGTAGTGTCTAAAACGCAGTAATTTCAAGTGGAGCTGAAAAATAGTACTTTATCTAGTTATATATCCACAACTGCCTCAGTTTCTTGTTCTCTAGTATGGGGTGTTAAACGAAACCTAAGCTAAAGACACAGAATTATTGTTAACTCTTCCAGTAAAACATTACTTTTACATGGACTATGTATATCAATATAAAAAGAAATGCAATACAAATATTTCATGCTACAAGTTTCTCTTAAACTTTGGGGAAAAATGTTAAAGCTCTTTTTTTTTTTCTCTAATGAAATGAGCTCTTTACATATAAATTATATTGTAATAACAGAGCTCCCTGGTGGAAAAGAGTTCCTTCTCCTGCTGGCAAAAATTAAAATAATCACAGATGGCTAATGATCAAAAATACTGACTGACAGCTCTGAAGTACAAGACATAGATAATATTCTCAGAGCTACAATTTATTTATACTCAGAACTGGCTTTAGGCACCCACAATATCAATGTTCATGATGTCCTATAATAAAAGAGATCTTAGAACCACCATTGCAGTATGTGGTGACAGGATTTGTCCTTAAGACTAAACATAATAATTTCACCAATATACATATGTTCCAGTATACCAATTATTTGAAATAATCTTTTATAATTAGCTAAAATTGTTCAAACTTTAAAAACATATAGACTCTATAATTTTTATTTGCATTATACTAATAATGTTTTGTGTGGTGTTTTTTTTTTCATTTGAGCTCTTTGAAATATTGTATTCTACTTCAGAGCTGATACACTGCAGAAGTCACTCAGTGCAAAGAAAAGGTCTGAAACATTAGTTTCCTGTATTTGATTGATGGTGTCCTATCTTTTTGATAGTGTTCAAAAACCTATGAGGAGTAGTTGGGTCTCATTCCTACTTATGTTAGTTGAAATGTGTAATTGATTCCACCAGGAGCTAGATGAATTTATAGGCAATTCTGGTTGTCTCAGATGTGTCTTATTTATTATCTTATAGTACCACCAAAAAGTGTGCTAAACACTTTGTAAAGCAGAAGCCTATCTCCAATTTCAAACACTGGCAGGGTTGTAGGCTTTATAGTCTTTACTTTTCAGTATGCATCCAGCTTCCATCACCATATGTTTTCTAAAAGAATGTCTGCCTTTTTGAAGTTTAATTTCTAGCACTTCTAAGATGGAGAAAAAGCTGGAGAGAGATTCCTGACCTATTAAAAAGTTTTAGTAATAAGAATGCAATTTTTAAATACCCTCAAAATATTACCTTTGGGAATTAGGAATATTCCCTGTGAAAATACTATATGGGCGTAGGTCTGTAGAAATATTTCTTCTTCCATTTCATTTTCAGCTGCATATGAGAGGGTGGCTGAAAAAGGGACAAAGTTTCTTTGAACTTCAATACTGGCAGGGGTGAGAGAAAGAGATCCTTCTTATGGAGAAACTACGTATTATTGGACACCAGAGAATTCATGAGGAAGAAAACTTCAGTGTTCCAAACTGCAGGAAAACTGATAGAACATGCAGTTGCTTAGATGTTGCAGTTCATAGCCATAAGCACCACAAATCAGGCATCATCAATCACAGAGCTCTGAGAACTAATTACTTAAAAGTTTTGATTTTAAACTAAGCATGAATTTTGATGTCCAACTAATGGTTTTTGTGCTGAGAATCAGTAGCTGGCACAGTGCATAATCTCAGACTAATATTGGTTCACTTTCTTTTTATTCAAATGTCTGACTGGACCTCTGCTATATGAGATGGAAACTCTGGATATAAGAAGAATAATTTATTAAGACAGCTGCTGTTATGCCAGGATAATGTAAATTTTACAATAACAGGAATGGAGCTGGAGTGGTGAATAATGTAGAAACTTTTCCCCATGCAAACAGTGCTATTGTAGATAAACTGAGCTTCATTTTAAATAGGAATATTTTCAGCAAATAACTTATTTTCTCTAAACACAAGTGTACTTTATAAGTTACAGACAGTCTATGACTTACAAGCATTCCAGCAGTCATAAGGTCTTTGTCTGCTAGTTAGTTTGATAATGACTATTAAGGGCAAAAGCTACTATTAAGGGCAAAAGCTGGCATACTATGTTACATTATATAACACAGTCAATCATCCAAAACCAAAACAGAACAAAAGGTGTTTTTTGTTGTTTTGTTTGTTTGTTTGTTTGTTTTGTTTTTTAATAAAAGACGCATTAGAAGCTTCACAAAAGAGCTCTTTTAAAGAGAATGTATTCATTCTACCCTTTCTGAAATTCAGTTACAGCCAAGTGAATTGTCACAAGTAAACTATTTCACTGAACTGAACAATAATAAACCAAAATGAGTAAAAGTACTAAAAGCATGCCTGAGGCAACAGAAACTTTGGTGTTAATTTCCATTTCTTTCAAGTGTATTTGATGAATGATGTGACAAAAGAATCCTAATTAAAGTCGAAATCCTGCATACTAAATAAATTAGAAGTGCCACTACATTCATCTTCTACAATGATAATACTGCCACTTCTGCTTCTTCTCTGTGCCCCTTTGCTTACATCTGTAGCACTAACTCCACAAAGGACACTGCAAGCACAGATAGGGGAATAGATATTGTTCCCCCAAATAGAGATATAACAGGACAAATTGCTCTGTTTCTCTTCACTACCTTCAATTTACACAAAGAAAAGCTATCAGGAGCATTCAGTGTGTTTTTAGGTATTTATTTTTCCTCTCACATGACTTAAAACTTGACAAGCAGCACCAAGAGCACTCTGCTCTTCAGCACCACTAGACAAGCTGCTGTGTTTATGGCCATTAATTTTTTATTTCTTTTAGTACTGGAGAATCATTAAGTACATATATACTTGGGGGTAATATATAATCCTAATGGGCTGGAAGGCAACACTGAAGGGATGAAATTCTATGGCTTGTGTCACACAAGCCAGGCAAGACAATCATAAATGACCTTAAAATCTATGAATCTTTCAAGTAGCTGCCCCATTCAATAAGCAGACTGGAACATGAATTATGACTCCCAAGAGACATCCTTTCCCTGCTCCCCTTTTGTTCCAGGGAGTACTCTGAAATACTTTAGAAGTTTATATCCCTGGTGTGCCCAAGCAGTAGGCTCATCTTTTTCCATTTTCTTTCCACTACTATTTCCACCACAAATACACTCAAAATCTGCCAAGGCAAACAAACGTGGTGCCTCAGTGTCTCTAGCTCCCATTTGTACTAAGGCTTCTGACAAGATCAGTCCTAAAACCAGGCTGTAGTCAACAGGAACTCAGAGGTGCCCACAGAGTCTAATATGACAACTTTGACATAGAATAATAATGGGGGCCTATTAGAAAAACTGTAAAAACATTAAAAACACATAATATTTCTACAAATTATTCTCTCAGACCACATCATGTATGATTTCTGATTTACAGTTCATGTCTATATATGTATATATACAGAATATTCATGACTTCTCTGAAGTGATAGAATATCCCATTCCTACAACAGCATGGAACACACACACAGGATGTTCTCTTTTACCTCATCACAGTGGTACATCACTTACTGGCTCTTTCTAAACAATATGGTTTCTTTGTATTTTCTAAATGACAGAAGAGCCAGAACCTCTCCCTCCTTTTCATATGACGTTTTAAAGAAATCTTCAAATTTCCTTTTTCAGAGGAAAAGACAGAGAGAATTATGTTAACGAAAAAGACACTTTTTGCTTATATCTGATACAGTTTAAGACCCGTTTTTACTTCCAATCTAGCTAGCAAAATTGTAATGAGCACATTTTTTTAAAGTACAGCAAATAAAAATACATCTTCTGTACAGTACATAATTTCCACAATTTTTGTCAGCAGATGAATTTTGTAGCCCTAATTTTATCCTATGAATTTTGAATAAGTATTTTAGAAAGACTATTTCTTGATCCTAACTATAATAGTGATCATTTCATTGATCATGGTGTGTTGTTGGACTAATGATCTTATATAGGTAGGTACACATAGATTTAATACATAAGTAACGGAGACATGCTGAGAAACATATTGTGTTGATATAAAGCTATGAATTCAAGCGCCCATCTTACACATGCAAAATTGAATATTTGTAGCACCAGCTCTTGAATATGATCTTTATTTTCTAATACTCATAGCGAGATATTATATTGCAATTTCACTAAAGAAAAATAAAATTTTCACCACGTCTTTAATGTGTTCTTTCTTAGGGCTAGAGCAGGTTGCATCTGTTCTTTATCACTTTGACTTCATTATAACTGACCTTGATACTTTCTGTCACTGTCTGCTGTGATCCCTGGGGATTAAGTGCCCAAAGGTTATTGATTTCTATACATGTATATGAGTTGTCATCTCTGTATACTTAATAATTGATTGTCAAAGTATTTTTGCACAATGCACTTTGTTGGCAGAACAAGTGGCCTTTCTCAACTCTATATTCAGGTCCTTTTCTTTGGGGTGTGTGACTGCCAACTAACGTGATAAAGTGTAAATACACAAGCTTCTCAGTAATGACCCAGTTGGCGGTATTCAGAACCCTTGGCTAAAAAGTGAGAGACTTTTCCAGGCTCTTCCAAGTTGTTGTTGTTGTTGTTGTTTTGTTTTGTTTTGTTCTGTTTTGTTTTCTGCTTTGTTTTTTTTTTTTCCTTTTTGCCCAGGACCAATGAAAAACATAGCATGAGGCATGGCCATTAGAAGAAATCTGTATTTGGCTGTGATTTTCAAAGAAAATTATCTTCTTGCAGATCTAGAGAAGAAAATGGTATTCCTGTCAGTATTTTCAAAATTAGTAAATAATCTAAAATAAGTTGTAAAACTCCTATTGGGCCAAAATCCCAATTTTTAAGATGCTACCCACCCAAAAACTCTGATCTGAGATTTATGTTCATGGTATATGGTTTATGTTCATGGTATGAAGTTTTTGTTTGTTTGTTTTGTTGTTTTTTTACTCCTATAATCTTTAAAACTTTCTTTAATCTTAAGGGTTTAGGAAGTGTTTTTCCAAGCTGGTAGTTTTGCCAGGGACTCAGCTAGAGTTGTGGTGTTCTTTTTTTTTTCTTTAAATAAAGTTTTGTATTTTTTCTTATATTAATCAAATTCTAGTTTGTTTGTTTGTTTGTTTTTCATTTTCATTTTAAATTAATTGATGGAGATGAAATGATGGAAAATACTTTTTTTTTTTTCTAGGGATTTTTTTTTTCCTGGGGAAATGGGGAAAAACAAAATAAATTACATTCAACTAGTGGCCTTGCAAGTTGATCAAGTTTAGAAACTGAGGTTAAATGAATGACATAGTTTCTTAAACTTCTTGCATGCATCAGAAATGTAACAATAGTTCACTTAAGACAGGCTTTTTGTTGGGTGGTTTAAACTTTGAGACATAGAAGAGCATCTTTTTGTTACTCGACAATATTTCATGGAGCTACAGTGTACTAATCATAAAATGAATATAATATAATATAATATAATATAATATAATATAATATAATATAATATAATATAATATACTGGACATAGTAAACTGTTCTTGTTGTGTAATGTTTCCTTATTCCTCTACAGATTTATAACATCTTTTAACGCAACAAGGGAAAATTTTGCTCTTTTATCAACTACTCCAACAAAACAGTCCATTTAAATAATGTGTCTGGAACTGTAGTCTATGGAGATAATCAGTAGCTTATTAACCTTAATCATAACAACACATTATCACTATCTGGTTTCATGTTGACTAATTTGCAGAACAATGGGGAAGAGCACACTCAACACATAAGACTGTTCCTAGTTCTTGGCACTGCATAAATACAGTGACCCTCACTTGAAATGTCAGAGACTTAAGAAAAAGCTGTATCATATGATGAAGGAAGACAGTCAGGAAAAGAGAATCATGTAATCAGAGAGTTAGTTAAAAAATAAACACTTGCTAAACCTCTGGACAAAGTGAGATCATCATCAAACAGATACCTAGAGCACAGAATAAAGGTCAGTTACCTTTTATCATGTTTGTGTAGCTTCAGTTAAACTAACAAGCAGCAGCATGTGCTTAAGGTCATAGTTAAACACTTTTGCCTTGATAAATGAGCTGTGTATTCAGTGCTTTCCTTTCAACAGCATGGCCATATTGGAACTCTGATCTACAAGAAAAAGGCAGACATCAGAAAAGGAAGCAATTTACTTGGGGACAGAAATGAAGTTACATCTTCACTCATTCATTTCAGATGGTAGCAGGAAATAATATGTCAAATAATACAATAACAATAAATTAAAACAACAAAAATGTAGCGGATAAGCCTCAAAAATAAAACAGTTCACTCTAATTTGGGAGAGTGAAAGTGAAGAATATATTGAAATCTTTTTAGTTCCATGAAAAGAAGCTGGAAAAATACCAGTTTTGGAAAAGATTTTTTAAATTCCTGAACATATTAGAAGACTGAAGCTGGCCAGCCTAGAAGTGAACTAAGATAGCTGGCAGAAAAAACATGTTTTCACTGAAACTTCCATTAAATTAATTCTGCCATAAAACATTTCCTTGCTTTCTAAATGGTATTTTCCCATATTTTTTCCATCACTAAGCTCTGCTCCACTGATCTTAATAAAAGGGTCAGTTTCAAAATGCATACTGACAATGCCTTTTTATTTCAATATCTGTCTCGGTTGAAATACTGATTCTAATTTCAGAATCTGCATTTTTTTTTTTTTCACAAAGAAACAATTCATTCTGCTATTTTAATTCAGAACAAAATATTGAGAATTTTCTGGTTTTATTTTTAGATGGGACAAAATCACTGAAAATGAATTGTCTTCAATTATTTGTACGTTACAGGTACATTAGGTACATAACAGAACATCTATTGTGGAAATCCTATCTTTTGATCCTAATGAACTTATTATGTTTAATGCACTAGACACTTTGCCAAGTTACAACTGCTTCATTCATATGATTCCTATGAACAAACCTCCAACTCTGTTAGGAAGAAGTAAGACTAGAAGTAAGCCTTATGAGAGATTTATATTCTATCCCAAAAGGAGTAAAGGTGGATAAATAAACTGAAACTTCTAATATAATATACCACAATATATAACAGTTTTATTGAAATCATTAAAAAAAAAAAAAAAAAGGAAATTTTAGGACAAATAAAATAATTCATTTATTTGATAATGTAGGATTATAAAATTTTCAGTGGGGAAAAAAATGTATTCTAGAAAAACTGCAATATATATCTGAATAACATTCCAACAGAAAAGAAGCAAGAAGTTCTACTTTCTACAAATATTATGAAAAAAACTTTGCTGAAACTGTTTATAGAGTATAATTCGGGTGTCAACAAATCAAAATTTATAATTAGAGACAGTTCTGCTGCAATAAACTGAAGAAATTCTAACTACTCTGCCTTCTCCCTTTTCACTGAATTATGCTATATATCTCTGTGTGTATACTGCATATGTGTATGTCTTTATGTGTATGCTACACCTTCATAGTTATTGAGTCACAGGACAGAAACTGTTTGCTTATCTGATTTGCACGTCATAGAAAAATGTGCAAACTTCAATTGACCAGAGTGTTTCCTCCTGCTACAGGGAAAACTATTTTATGATACCTGGTTGTAGTTATTTCTGTGATGCAGAGAATAGTAACAATATGCTTATGCTATGATACGAGTTCAAAAACTATTTGCTATAAATTGCAGTAGAAAGGAGAATACTTTTAACACAGTGATAGTGCTGCTGCTGCCATTAGGATCTAAAAGCAAGGATTCTTAGACCTTGTTTGTATTACATAAACTGGTAAAGTTGAAATATATATATATATATATAAAAGCTTTGAGGATCTGCTTTGAGGATCTCTTCTTCAGGTGTCAAAAGAAGCAACAAAGTGTGATATGCTAAAAAAAAAAATACTTTTTTTTTTTTAATGGAAGAAGCACTTGTGTTTCTTTCATAACACAGGTTTTGTTCTTTTTTGTCTTTAGTCTTCTTGGTCTTGAACTAGAATAATAGAATGTAGGAAAAATTCTGAAAATACTAAATCAGTTCAAAACTGCAGTACATATTCTGATATTAAAAGAGCTGAAAGCATTATAGAAACATTTAACCAAAAATTTACGTGACACATCATAACGACTTTGTAATGGAAGTTTTAAAGTAGGAAGAAGTGAAATAGAAGAGAGGTGAATATCATATAGAAAACTAGGAAGAGTAACTAAGACTGATGGAAAAGGAGAAATACCAGGATGCTGGGTAACTAATGCTAAAGCTAAAATGAAGTCTCAGCCAACTGTTTTTGACCAAGAATAAAACAGTATGGTTTGGGAGAAATAATAGTGAGACCTCATTATTTCATTGACACAGATTTACAGTTCCCGAAATGAAATTATTGCAATTTTGTCACAAAACTAGTAGAAATACAAGGACTTTACAAAACAAAGCTTCTCCATATTTTTCTGCTAGTACCGAGCCTCTCTGACTCAAAAAGTAACTGTGTTTTTCTCCTGTGTGTCATTGGCCTATCAGTTCTAGGTCACAGTTGTGATATCACAGTAAACTATCCGGTAAAGTTCTGAGGTGATTCGGGTTCTAAATCTGCTAGGGACTAGACAGAAAACAAGCAAACAAAAAAACAAACAAACAAACAAAAAACAATAATTCTCATGGGCCATTTATTAGGATTGATGCAGAAATGTCTCAAATGTACTATACATGAAAAGAGAATGATCCCACAAGAAATTGTAGCTCATCCAAGATAATCTTGAAGATTCAGGGCTTTTGAAGCAAATATCTGTCTACATTTATGTATTTATTTCTTAAAATTATTTAGTGATACTTCTCATAAATAAGCAGAGGTTCACATTATCTAAAACTGTATCTTCATTTCACAGCAGTGATGATTTCCAGCACATTTTAAAAGACTGTAGAATTTGAATTCTACTGAAACTAAGAGTGCTGTGAACAGATTCTACAGTTAATGTATGTATCTTGGTCTGATCTGAAATAGTGTGGAAAATGTATATGGTCATGCATTATAAAATGTATATGATTATAAAATGTATATGATTACTCTAGGCAAATTTTGCCCATAAACTTAAGTGTCTTAAGTGCCCATAAACTTAAGACTATTTGAGCCTTCATCTACATGGCAAGCAGTAAGTATAAAAAACAGAATTAGCTTTCTGGTTGTTATTTGGTATCTTACCGTAACAAACTATGAAAACATTTTGGTATGAAAACAAAAGCTAATCTCATCTCTTATCCTATTGCCTGCCTCTTGGTCCTTTACAATGCATTTTGCTTATGCAGTCGAACAATGTCTGTTTATGATAAAATTGCAACATGTCTTCACTTAATAAAGAAATTATGTTTTTATTCAGTGTTTATGCTGATATCTTAAGTATCATGCACACTGCTATGTAGTGACAAGACCAAATACACTTTGGCTTAGTTTCAACATAAAAATTAGAAGGTGTTGATTTTATTACCACTCTGGCAATATATTTGAAAGCATGTTAATGAGTATTAATGTCTTATGTTTAGCCAAAAGAATTTCTGAAGTCAGAGTGCTATTTTATCTGCTTTAAAACATTAGCAGTAAGGAGCTGAATACAGACGTATTTTGATAAGTATATTATATCTTATCAGCCAATAGTTGGATACAATTGAAAAATCTACCTACTGTATACAAAAATCTTATGCTGCATTTTGATAAAATAGTAAAGCTGATGAGAAAAATATCTGTATTCCACTGGAATTTATTACGAATATCCAGACAAGAGCAAAAGGAATTAGACTATTTAGCTGTAGAAATTTTTAGCTGTCAAGATAAACATTTTTGAGAATTTATTTGGATTATTTTAAGAAATACCAAGTAGTCTGAACAATTAATTGGATGGAAATCAGTATGAAACTTTTTATGTTTCCTTTAACAGAATGCTTCACATTTTTTCCTTAACGTTTTTTTTTCAGTCCTTTATGAGACTGAATTCAACAAGGAATTAGATGAGAATTGAAGCTTCTGCTTCAGAAAACAGACTAGCAGCTAGACAACAGAAAACAGATGCCAATTATTTGCCAGTGTCTGCTATAGAACAAAACATTTTATGACATTTACTTTGCCTTAGCAAAACTGCCGTTGATGTCAGAGAAGCACCAGTCAGCAGGTTTTTAAAGCAGTCTCTATATAGTCCAGGATCTTAAATCATTTCTTACACTTTTCTAAAGATGAAAAGAAGAAAAATACATAGTACTTTATATAGAGTATATATATTAGCACAATCTGGAGTATTGCTGTCTTACACTGTGAGACCAGACTTGCTTAATAGACTAAGTGAAAACAGAATTTGTGCTACGTAGATTTAGAAACCACAAGATAGGATTTCTTTTGTCACACATTGAACAGGGAATAATTCAAGCTGTGCAATAGAGAATAAAGCCAATCTTTTTGCACTATAATAGCTATCTTTATTTGGCCTGAGTATATATTTGTAAGGTGGGCTAGTCTTCTGCTTGAGTCATCCAAGGAACACAGGAGTTGGTGGCACTACTTACAGGTTAACTTAACACAGTATTTATTGATAATAAATCTTAAGTCAGATCAACAGTAAACAATTATCTTAATCTAGCCCAACATTTAAAACTTTTAATGTTATTTAAGGGTTAATTCTGTAATAATGTTTTTATCTACCAAATACTCTAGATGGTTACACTGGCATAGTGTCTGTTTCATCAGCACAAACCATATAGACAAAATGTTTTCTGAAGATAGAAATTATACTGATGTTAACAAACTATACCTGTACTGTTCTACCAGCCAAACCTGTATAGCTACCGACTAGGTCTTAGATTAAGCACAAAGGATAGACACCCAAAACACCTTCAAGAGCACTACTGGCCATGGAAGGCAACGTGGTTTAACAATTTTTTGCACAGGTCTGTATATACTAAGGGCACTATTACATGCAGATGTGTGAGAATTAGTTCAATATATATATATTTGTTTATATCCAATTTTTCAAAGGATTGTATTGCTGCAATTTCTTATGGGGTACATCTGCTAACTGTGGCGTGGCAAAACTGTAATATCATGTACTCCATTAGCTGAAGGACTCATTGTAATTGTGAAATCGCTGGGGGTTTAGGCATT